AGAAGCCTGGATCCACCCAGTTAGAAAAGAAAAAAAAAAAATTGGAAGTAAACATTTTTCTATGTAAAAACGTTCCAAAATACAACATCCTCAGAATTCTAAGTCCTCCAGAGGCAGGACACAGCAAACGAAGACATGTTCATTTCCATAAGACAAGAGTAAACATTTGGGGAGGTGTGTGGGTAACGCACCCTCATCAAGTTCCATCCACAAATGGCTTCCCAGGGCTTACAGTGTCCCAGCTTGATCTCATCACCAGACTGAGCAGGGGAAAACCCAACTGTGTAACAGTCCTGTAATGTGGGGTAGAGGAGGTGTTACACGCCAAACACCACTAAGGGCTGGGAGTGGTAGTAGAGGTACTCCCAGCCAGCCTGTGAAAAAGATGTCACTCTTACCCCTGCGTCCCATGCTCCAGATGGGAAAGCTGAAATGCATGCTGTGGCTGCAGAGGGTGAACTCGGCTTTCACGGTACGCGCTCCAGATCGGGGAGCAATGTGATGATGGGCAGAATGGCAAGACACTATGACAGCCAGTCAGTGTGGGCTCTACTTAGGATTGGGTGGCCAGGAACAACCATTAGGACTTGGATAGGACTTGGAAGTGAAGAGCAGAAACCCATGAGAGATAAGGTCAGAGGGGTCATAATGCCCAGAAGCCTTAAAAGCTGCCCAAGGCATCTGCATTCCTGAGGAAGCATCTTTTCCTTCAGGCCAGGGTTGAGAAGAGCCATCCTTAAACACTCCAGGTGCTACCACCAAGAGAGGCCTGGAAACTCTTTGGTTCCCTCTATGGACTGAATGGGCTCCACTGCCCCAATCCTCCTTATGTTGAAGCTCTGACCCTCTCTCTGTATGATAGTATTTGGAGGTGATGCCTTTGAGTATATGGGATGAAAATTAGGGTTAAGTGAGACCACGATGGTGGCATTCCTATGATGGGATTGGTGTCCTTATAAGAAGGAGAGAAGGAGGAGTTGGGGGGGAGGAGGGGAAAGAGAAGGAAGCCTAATTGTTTTTTCTCTACCATGGGAGCATGCAACGCAAAGGCAGCTCTCTCTAAGGTAGGCAGAGGGCCCTCACCAGTCACCAGAAAAATCAGCAACTTCATCTTCAACTTTCCATTGTCCAGAACTATGGGAAAGCATCTCTTCAGCCACTCAGCCTGGGACGTTCTGTCATAGCAGCCAGTGAGAGACTCAAGGCCCCCGCCATTCATTACTATTGCATAGCGTTTGGCCACACCAAGCCTTCGGTATTGCCTGCTCTGTATAGACCAGGGATTTTCAACCTGTGACTCATCACCCCTTTGGGGGTTGAACAACCCTTTCACAGGTCACCTAAGGCCACCGGAAAACACAGATACTTGTGTGAGGACTCATAACAGTAGCAAAATTACAGTTATGAAGCAACAACAAACATAATTTTATAGTTGGGGGAGTCACACAACAGGAGGAACTGTATTAAAGGGTTGCAAGCATCAGGCAGGCTGAGAACCACTGATACAGACAGTGAAAAGAAGTATCTAAAGCCCGGAGGCCAGATCATGCCTTCACATCTCTGAGGGAAAATTATGAATTTTTCCATAAACGTCACTGGCCAAAATAAATTATTTTTATTTCCCTGTATGAAAAATAAATAAATAAATACTTTGAAATTTTCCTGTGTTAAACCAAGTCTTAACTTCCTTTTTTTTCCCCCCCAAGACAGCATCTCTCTGTGTAGCCTTGGCTGCCCTGCACTCACTCTGTAGACCAGGCTGGCCTCAGACTCAGAGATCTGCCTGCCTCTGCCTCCCAGAGTTCTGGAATTACAGGTGTGCAGCGTTGTGCCTGGCTGCAGGTCTTAAGTTTTATTAAACATTCACAAATGATTTCTCAGTGCTAGGGTGATCAAAGGCAGAGCCTTGTGCATAATCAGTAAATGCTCTACCAGAAAACTAGCCTCCAGCTTAACGTTCAAACACTGCTCAAATGCCTACCTGCAAGTGTCCAGCAGCACTCTAGAGCAGGGCTCATTTGCATATGGTGGACTCATTGGGAACCTTGTTAGGATGCAGATTCTGATCTAGTCGAAGTGAGATGGAATCTATATTCCTAGTAGGCTCCTGGTGATGCCCCACAATGCACTTCTGGGCCCCAGCCTTGTTAGCACCAACTTGGAGTTTTTCTTGGAAACACCCAGCATGCCCTTGAAAAACATGGACTCTGTCACGCTCCTGAACGTCTAAGCTGGAGCTCCAATGCATCTTCATCACAGCAGCAGCCCAGGATGACAGCCTTGGGTAAGCATCCACCTGCTCCCCAGGTGCCAGCCACACCTACACCTAGCCACACAGACTCTCAGAAAGGAAATGCCTCCTGCAGGGCTGACTTTAGGCCTCTGTGACCCTTCATTGGCACATGGCTTTTCTGGGTCAAGATCTTGTCTACTCTACTTGACTGTAAGCTACCTAATGGAAGAGGCTCCCTCTTGTAACCTGCTTAGACTCTATAGTATGTGTCTAAGAGCAAATGCTTGCTAAGATGTAAAGTAGAAAGAGAGGAGGCAGGAGGGAAAGCCCCTGCCTGTTCTCAGAAGAGATGGTGGTAAGAAATACAACACACTTGGGGTGGTTTAAATGAGAATGGCTCATGCGTTTGAATACTTGGTCCCTGTATTGGTAGAACTATTTGGGAAGGATTAGGAGGTGTGGCTTTTTGGAGAAGGTGTGTCATGGGCTGGACTCGAGGTTTCAAAAGCTTTGTGCCATTGGCAGTATGTGTGTGTGTCCTTCTCTCTGCCTCCTACTGTAGATCAAGATGTGAGCTCTCAGCTGCTCCTGCCGTGCCTTTGTTCCATGGTCATGGACTCTCTGAAACCCCAATTAAACTCTCTGTAAGCTCAATTAAACACTTTCTTTCATAAGTTGCCATGGTCACGATGGTTTGTCATAGCAATAGGAAAGTAACTTAAGACAGCACCAGACGTCAGGTAACTCAGAGACGAGACCTTGAGGAGCCATTAACTGACCTTTATGTCCTCATCTTTGCAAATACACCATGAAGACTCCTCTATGCTTTCGTTCTATCATCTCAATCACTGAGACCTTTCTATGTCTAAGCCCCCACTATGGACACAGTCAGCACAAAGCAAAATTTGAGTATAATTATTGCTAAAGCATGGGTTGTTTCTCTCATTTCCCTCTTTACAGAAAGACAAAGCCAGTCCCTCCTGAGGCATAGAATACACTGCTTTAAAGTCAATGAAATGCTCTTTGACAGGACTAATAATTCAGGGACTCTGATAGGGTACAAGAAAACTCTAGCATGAGAAGTGGAGTCCTATATACCTCAAAATGCCAATTCTAGAATGTCAGGTCCCTGGAATGACAGAAAGAATCCAGTGCTGCCTTTACATGTGGGCATGACTGAGGGCATAGCCTTTTGCTCAGGGCAGTACCTGAACAGAAAGGATGAGTTCAAAATGTTAATGACAGGACAGTACCACTGCCTATGGGGTTGCCAAGGTGATGCGTTGATGCAGAAATAGATGTCCAGGCCCAATTGGAATTACACTGCTGCTTTGAAAGTCCTCACTATTCCTCCATACTCCAAAGTCCTTCTAGAAGGTCTCTGGGGAAAGAGACGTCCATGGTGTTGAAAGTACCAAGATAACTTAGAGCTCAGTGGTTCTCAACCTTCTTAACCCTGCGACTCCTTAATCCAGTTCCTCATGTTGTGGTGACCCCAATGAAAATTAGTTCATTGATACTTCATAACTGTAACTTTGCCACTATTATGAATTGTTATGTAAATACGTGTTTTCAGATGGTCTTAGGCTACCCCTGTGAAAGGGTTGTTCAACCTCCAAAGTGGTCATGACCTACAGCTTGAGAACCACTGGCTTAGAGAGATGACCAAAGCCTTCATAAGCACATGGAGCCCAAGACACAGATTAGGCACACAAACCAGGGTTCCGAAGCCAAAGTCAGTGCCAATGAGTTGCGGCATAACTTTGGGCATCTTGTGTCTTCACCACAGACTTTTCCTAACCTAAAAAGACACTGCCTTACGGAGGCTGACATCAGAAGCCTGGAGCTCTGCACCCAAGCCCACTCCTTTGCCCGGGGGTGCCAACTCCCACACACAGCCCTTTGCAAAGCCTCGCCAGATTCTTTAACTCAGAGCAGGCAAGCACCATTCTGCCCTCTCCACTGGTTAGAAAGCGCAGAAAATTATGTGATTTGCCTGGCAACAAAGTAGAAAAATTCATCAATAGCAAAATCTCCTGTCTCCTTTGGGGGTTTCGAATTCATCACCCTACTGTATTCTCTTCACAGCGACCCCAAGAGATGGATCCAGAGCTAAAGCCCAGACCTGCCCTGTGAGAGGCCTGGGCAGCTTTCATGTGCCTGCTGCCTCCTGAGGATTGTTTTGCTGGTTTAAGTGAAACCTGCCTGCAGCAGAATAGACCGGATGTTAATCCTGGGACCCTACCACACCAGATACCTCAGAGAAGAACATTGAAGGGCTTCCCAGGACAAACACAATCCAACTGCCTGAGGAAGAGCCCAAAAATCAGCTCAGAGTCCTCCCTTTCCGTGGCTGGGAGTGCTCCCACCCTGGTAGGTCATCCCACAAGGATACCCACCACAAGCTATGGATTCGTTATCCCAAGAGGACCGTCAAATGCACACAGTGAGCAAAGGCAGAAACGACAGGCACCAGGGCAAAGCCAAGGAAGCAAGAGAGCAGGGGGAATACACTGCCTTTAAGACAAGAGGCAGCATTTTTAGACTCTTGAATGTGACCTTCGTAGTTGCTGGATAAAGAAAGCTCTGGTGTTGCTTAGCAGCGCGGCTGACGAATGTCTATAGGTTTCATTTCAACACCACACAGCTACCCTTCCTCACTCAGGTTCCTAAGAGCGCCTCTCCCAGCGTTAGCCGGATCTGTCCACGTAAGCACGAAGTCCAAGCTGGGTTAAATGCTGGCAGGGAAGGGGAGACTGTGTCTTACCAGGATCTGTGCAGTTCTTAGCCAGCGGAGTCCCATTTATTGGTGCCATCAACTTTCTATTTCGCCACGTGTCTGGAAGCACACGTTTGCTAGCAGAAGCTGTTTTGTGGCCTGGATTGGAGAAAAACAAGTCAGGAATATATCAACGTACTTCTTGAGTTCTCAAAAATGACCTTACGCCTGTGCATCTAGCTAGGTCGGGCACAGACACTGGCTATTTATTCATTTTTTATTATTTTTGATTAAATATATTTGTGAGTGTGGGGGGAGTGAGGAGATGTGCACATGAGTGTAGGTGTCCACAGAGGCCAGAGGAATCAGATCTGCCTGGAACTGGAGTTATGGGTGATTGTGGAGGCCCTGCGGAGGAATTGGCCTCAGGTGTTCTGGAAGAGCAGCGTGTGCCCTTATCTGCAAAGACGTCTCTCTAAGCTCAGGTTTGGCTATTGGGGCCACCTGTAGGGAGTGATGCGGTGATTGGCAGTGCGCTGTCACCTGCCTGCACCCAGAATGCTGCTTCCTGGCTCTAATCCATTGTTGCCAGTCTCACATGGGTCACTCGCTGTGTGATTGACCTTGGACAAAGACCTAGCCGGTCTCAGCTGCCTCTACCTTTCCATCTCCACACAACAAAGGATTTCAATAGGAGCATTAAACCCTTTCTCAGGAAACCCGCTCAGGTAGTCCCCACCCTCGGACGCCCAAATGTGTGTGCTTGGCCAAGTGTGTACACACCTCACCCAGGGTTCCGCTCAAAATGAAACTCTGATTCCGTAGGTGCAAGGTGGAGATTGAGAGTCCATGGGACCACGCTGTCATGCTGTGGTCCAGGGGTGTCACACAGAGCCATATCAGAGAAGGCCTCTGCGCAGATAGTAAGCTCCGGAAGCTAACTCCTGCTCTAGGCAATAAAACAGTTCTGGCTTTCAGACTACACCTTAACTCTCCATTTACCTGTCCCAGTGCTCTCCGTTGTGGCCCCTCCAGAACGCCTGCGTCTCACAGCCTGCACAGCTTGTTATTTCTTCTGTTTAATTGTCCAGCTGCAAAGCCCTGGCTAGTGAGGTGTTAAAAATAAACTTTCTGGATCTCTTTAGAAATGAGCCACTCCTCAGCCTTCTATTCCCAAAGCACAGTCTTGTGTTGAAAGACAGCGGTGTCTCTTTTTAAAAAGAAAGTTTAACCAGGTTTCCTTTGCCTTTCTACATCACCCGTTCAGATCTCTAAATGGTCCCAAGACGCTATGTTAACGGCCTTTCTAAACACTCAGAAAGGTGCCCTCCCTCCGCTGGCCTCTGCCTCGGTGGCTAACTTGACGTTTATTTCACACGAGAGACACCCCAAATGTTCACAGCACCCACTTCTGAACTATCTAAGCGATAAATGCCCTTTAAAGGTTAAACAGGAGCCCAAATCCCCTCCCCCCCCCGAAATAAACATTTTATAAGTTTCTTTTCTTTCCCCACTCCGCCTGAAATTTGCTTGTCTTAACAGACCCCGGGGCCGCCTTCTGCCTGGAGGAGTGTAGACCACGGTTCTGCACGCCAGCCCTCCCTTTCCGTGGGGATTAAGCAGAGTTAAGAGAAGCGACGCTGGAACATGGCAGCAATCTCCCGCGGGAAGAGACTGCCTCGCTCCGTTTGAGGTTGGGGAGGAAAACCAGGCTACCCATTTGAAGCAGACAGGTGCAAGGGGAAGAGCAGAGACCCAGCCTGAGAATCTGCGTCTCTGGGGGACGGAGCTATGCAAAACAAGGAATCGGGCCGCTCAGTTTCACGCACCCCAAAGCAAGAGAATTTACCCCTGCCTGGGCCGCCGTGAGTTGCCCACTGCGTGCGCACGCTAGGGACAGATGTGCAGGCTTCGGTCCCAGGAACACACACCTACAGCCGCGTCCAGAGCCCCCAGGGAACTTGAGCAGTTCAGCGGAACGGTCGCCACAGTCCAGCGCGTGGCTCAGCCCTCCTGGGTGCGCTCTACTCGCCAGGCGGGGAGGGGGAACCCCTGGGGACCAATCTGGCAGAGAAGGAGCTAGAGCCGTCCTGAGACTTCCCAGCTCAAGCCCCCCTAACTCCCCGGGTGGAGACCATCCGTCCCCACACCTACCCAAGCTTCCGAAGAGGCCGGACGCACAGCACACCAGCGCCAGCACGGCGCATACGAAGCCAACTTGCTGCGGCAGCATCTCTCGCCTCCTGCGAACTTTGCGCGGCCGGAGGGGTCCACGGAGCGCCATCTCGGTGCGCCCGGCGTTCCCGGGAGAAGATGCCTAGCTAGCTTCAGAGGTTGGAGCGCTGTCTGTGGCCCAGCGGCGCTGGGGCTGCAGCGGGGCGATGCGCACGCACCTCAGAGGCTAGGGGCTCCGGGGCGATAGCTTCATGGTCCGTGGGCAGGGCGAGCGCGGGAAGCCCTGGTGGAGATGCCGGAGGAGGGGGCACTCTGCACGGCCGGAGCTCAGAGTTCCACGCGGGGCGTGCGCGCTGCGCGCACCATGACTCCTTGGCGAGGAGACGACGCCTGCACCGCGGCGCTGGCGGCCCTGGCTGGCAGGCTTGGCGCAGTCCGGGCGCTTGGAGCCGCTACCTGCCCGCTGAGCCTCGGCGCGCTCCGAGCCCGCCGGGAGCGATCAGAGCTTGGCGAGCGCCCCCGCGCCCAGCGCCGCGGCGCCCACTCGCAGCATCCTCCTAATCCAAGTTTAGCCCCGGCCGCCCCGGCTGCCCGCCCGCGAGGCTCCTCTGCTCCTCGGGAAGCAGAGCCCGGGCGGCCAAGTGCGTGCAGGGGGACGGCGCGCTGCGCACGCGGGACTTGAGACCCCCTCGGCCAGCGACTGCAGCTCGGGCCCTCCGGCGGGCGAACTGCCCCGGGGAACTTTCTCTCTGGCTCCTCGGCGGCCGGCGCCTGCGTCTGCGAGGCCGTGGCGCCTCCCGCAAGCTGCTCTCGCCTCCCTACTCCTCCCCTCCAGCCCTCCCGCCTCTCACCCTCCCTCCCCTGCACGAGCACACCTCCCCTAGGGCGCTCTCCCAGTGCGCCTCTCCCTTCCCCCTGGGGAGGCCCAACTACTGACCAGCATAATCCCCTTTCCTTGCCCCCCTTCTCCCCCCCTCTAACCCTACCAAGCCTAAATGAGTCTTTAGCATCTGTGGTTGCTGTAGTGAGGAACAGGTTATGGCACCGCCAGGACTCTCATAACTAGGGTTTCTGTAGAGCTCTCTCGCTCGAGTCCCGGCTCCCCACGAGCCTGCGAGCGAGCGAGCGACCCAAAGCGGTCACCACCACTACCCCGAGTAGCCGCCACTGTACAAGCAGCTTAATTGCTCGCTCAGCGCTAACAAACAGGCTTGCACCAAGCCAACCGACGCCCGCCGGGACCGGTTACTGCAGGGCTCTCTGGGATAACTGGGGACCTGTGCAACATCGACCTACAAAAAGCTAGTAATCTGGCAGAGGGAGAAACCTGGCATTTCAGCGGCTCCGTGGTCAACAGTTGCGAGCTTTTGATGTTTTGCAATCTTACAGCTTCGCAGTGCTTTCTGGTTCGGGTTTGTTTTTCCTCTCGGCTCCCTAGTGCAAACCTCTTTTTAAAGGTGGCAGGAGTGAAATTTAACGGAGGTGTCATCCAGGTGCGGACAAGTGGAGGGGACCTCTGCCCAAAAAGATCTCTCACACTTCCTGCTCTGCCATTTCTGTCCTGTGCCGATCTAGGGCCTACTAGGGGTTAAGGCCACTTAAAACCATTTTTGGATCAAGGCCAACTCTGTTTAATTAAATAAATACATACCCAGCATGCGCGGGTCCTGTGCCAAGCGCCAGCCAGCCAAGAAACAAAACAACAACAACGGGTATGAAGACCCAGTGTCTGCTTTCAAGGAACCCTGAAAGGCTTCAGGGGAGGGGGCTGTCCCTCAGATACATGCCTGTTAAGCGGGAAGTCAGTATTTTGCAGAGAGAGCCAAGCATTCCCTTGCTGCTCATTAGGCCACGCTGTGGTTCGCAGCAGCCAAAGGCATTGCCTGGGAGCTCAGGAGACATGCAGGCACCCTAGCTCTACTGAGCAAGAAGGTGCATTTTTAACCAGGTCCCCTGAAGGCCTTGGGCACAGTCAAGTGTGAGAAGTTCCCTTCTGGGGACTGTCCTGAATGCCTTCTCCAGCCGGCCATTACCTGCAAGGCTCCTTTGTACATCATAGGCAATGACATTTTACATTTGTTAGCCAAGCATAGGGGACACAGGTAAGGTACCTGGAGGGGCAGGGGTGGGGATCACTGTTTCAGCATCTTCATTTCTACACTACTCAATATGGTCAGGAGAATGGGTGAGTTTATTAAGTATAGAAAAGAAAAAAAAAAAAAAGGAAAAGAACAAATGGAAGGCAGACCAGTTGGTAGATGTGTAGCAAAACATCATCAGATCTGAGGCTTACAAACACCCAGCAGAAAGTGACCGGGGAAGCCGAGGCAGTCAACTGCAGTTCTTAGTTGAGCTTTCTCTTCCTGGATGAGCTTCCGGAGCTTGGATCTCACTGCAGGCATTTTTATACCATGTGATAAACAATAGTAACATCTTTGGAAAGGGGTTACCTTCTAGCTGCTCTTAAAGACACAATGTGTTTATTCTTGGGCATTTTACTGCTTTTTCCCTCCCTATCACAGAGTTGGGGGAGGGAAGCGCATCCCCAGACGGGATCTTGAGATGAAAACCTGGTTGGGTCTGAAGCAGGAAATGACAGCCCACTTCCAACTTCTCAGAGAACTCAGAAAAGCACGGGATAATTTACCAACATAAAGGACATTACCAAGATACTGAAGGCATGGACACAACACTAATCACATGGAAAGCCCTAGAGGGTATGAAATGGAAAGAGCTAAGGTGGCCTTGTTAGAGTAATCTGGAATTCTGTCTGGTCTGTAGTGGTGTCTCACCAGCTCATCCTCTAGTTTGGTGCTAGCTACTAAACATAGGCAGTGAAGACTGCAGAGTTACTTTTTATGCATCTTCAGACTTTCCTTCTCACTGACTACACTAGACAAGGATGAATTCATCGATAACAAAGGGAAGAAGAAACCGTTAAATAGGCTGTTTGAAAAGCTGCTTGGCAAGGGCCCTTGATACCCAATTTAAGACAGAGGAAAGGCTTGACTGATAATACAGCAATACCTGGTATCTGAGACATCACTCCTGTGGCATTAGAGAAAGCAACAGTAGCAAAACTCAAGCAGGCAAATAAATAAGCCCAGCAGCTTGTTTGTAAGGTTTAATACCTAAAATATGCATCTCTGAGGTTCACATAGGACGAATGAAAATAGAAAGTTTCGAGTCCAGATCAAGTCAAAGGAGTCATTAGTTTCCACCTGGAAACAGTCAGCCAGCCCTATAATAGAACACTTCTCGTTGACATTTTTCAACTGCCTTCAGTTAATAGTTAGAATCCTTGGAATGATCTCACATGCACAAATGGGTTCCTTTTATTTGACAGTTTAAAAAGCAATTCGTTTGAAATTGTACTTTTTTTTTTTTTGCTTCATTTAAATAGTGCCCATTACCAAATAGCCTCAGCAACAGCACTAATGACTCAGCCTGCAGAAGAGAGAATTGGATATTATGTACCTTTCAAATTCAAAGCATTCAGGAGCACTTCCTAAATCAGCTAGGCCACAGGCACAAATGGAAAGTACTTTCCTGGGTTTATCTTGAGCCCTGGCGTCAATACCACTGAACTCTGAGCGTCTCTTTCTGCAATAGTGCATTTTCTTTTTTTTTACGTCACACGGTAGAAGGATGTCCACACAGCTAGACAGTTTTTAGCTCTTTGGACAGGGTAGGTCAGTCAGTGGGTGATGGGTACAGGGCTGCCTTTCCTTTAAAATCATTTTCTACCACATAATAAATCCTGCCTTTCCATTAGCATTTTACTCCGGTTTTTAAAGTTTGCTGGAATGACCTTCTCTATGACTTTTCTAAATTTATCTTTTTGGGACACATATGAATGTGCGTGTACATTCGTGCACCCGGGTACATATGTAGGCCAAAGATTCACAATGGGTCTCTTCTGTCACTTTCCACTTTTTAAAAGATTAATTTTAATTTTTTTCACAATTTATTCATTATATAACCCAATTGAAGCCCCCCCTCCCTCAACTCCTCCCAGTTCCACCTCCCTCCCCCATCCCCTTTCCCTAGTCCACTGAAAGGGGGAGTTCTCCTTCTTTGCCAGCCATCTGCCCATAGCTTGTCGGGGCTCATCAGGAATGCCCGGATCCTCTTCCTCTATGGCCTGATAAGGCCGCATTGCCAGGGGCAAGTGATCAAAGAGCAGGCAGCCCAGTTCAAGACAGAGGCAGCCCCTGCTCCCCTTACTCAGGAATCCACATGGAGACTGAGCTGCCAATCAGCTACATCTGAGCAGGGGGTCTAGGTCCTCTCCATGTGTGGTCCTTGGTTGGCGCATCAATCACTTCAGATTGATGCAGGTGCATCAGTCTCTGCAAGGCTCCAACTGTCTCCTATCCCCTCGCACCCCCAGCACTGGGGTTGTAAGTGCATGCCACCACATCTGACATTTATGTGGCTCTTGCATACTGGGGATTTGAACTCAGGCCTTCATGCTTGTACAGCAAGCACTTTACCCACTGAGCCATCTTTCCACCCTTCCTCTGTAACTTCTGATTCCTCCTTCTGCCTTAGCCAAGCAAAGTTTCTCAAACTTTCTCATGCCCCAGAATCCCCTGGAAGGTTTGTTAAAACCTACCCTGCTGAGCCCTACTCCAGTTTCTGCTTCGATCACCCCAGGTTAGGCCTGAGTATTTGTATTTCTAGCACCTTCCTAAGTAAAGCCTATCCTGGGGTCACAGTGGACGGAAGGGCCAGATTACACTATGGGAATGAGGACAAATGATGCAAACAGCGTAAGTTTCTTTTCAGTTCAGGCTGTTTGTTGGTCAAGGGCAGTGTGTCAAGGGGTGGGGCCACACAGGGCCCTGGGATGGGTCACAGCAGCAAACACTGCCTCCTGTCATGCCAAGGGGAAAGGACACCTTCGGGTTCCTGTGTTGGCTACAAATGCTCTAACCTGGCTAGAGCAAGTTACCTGGCCTCACCAAGCCAGGGTGATTTCCAGAAGTGCTGTCAGGGATGCTGGTCTCCAGCTCGGCAACAGACCATCTGGTGACGCCCGAATCAGTGAAGAGCCTCTCCTCCTCCTTTCCTCCTGAGACCCTTCCTGCCTACCCCTTCCTCCTC